CTGGTGTTCACACACTGGATCACCTAACAGTACATCTGTGCAAACACACCCCTGGTGTTCATACCCTGGAGCACCTAACAGCACGTCTGCGTGAAAACCTAACAGCACAAATTTTAGAATGGATCCCATTGTTAAACAACCTGTGGCCGTGTTAAAATGTTTGTGATTTCCACAAGGGGGAGGGGTAAGCCCCACCTTTCAGTTAACTCTTCATGATGTCGCATGTTTCCCATATGAACATGTGCAGTACCTGCAAACAGGGTAGTACTGTCCAAACCCCTGTCCAGCCCCACTCAAAGCTCTCTTAGAAAGTCTCAGTCCCCAGCCCGATCCAGTGAACTTTGAGAGCCTCGAAAAGCAGGTGCTATGTATCCAGGTAGACAGTGGGCTCCTCACTGAGAGCCTCACCCTGTTCCCACCTCTATCAGTGTCCTTCAGTCTCACCCCAAACATTCTCTCTGGTCCTCTGCAGAATGAATGACAAAATCAGGACGCTCTTCTCTAACCTGGGGAGTTCCTACGCAAATCAGCTGGGCTTCCGGGACAGCTGGGTCTTCTTAGGTGCCAAAGACCTCAAGAATAAAAGCCCATATGAGCAGGTGGGTTCCTAGCTGCCTCCCTGTCTGAGTAAGGGCCCAGTGGACAAGGTGCTGCAGCGGGTGAAAGGACAGTCAGTGCCATAGGCTACATTGTTGGTCAGAAACCACACACAGAACCAGAAGGGAGGACCATCCCTCAGAGGCCAGGGAGCAGAGAGCAAGTGCCTGAGCTAGTGACTTACTCCTTTTTCCCTTTAGTCAGGCCCCCAATTTACATTAATCCTCCCTGGAAACACTCACACCGATATATCCAGAGGAATATTTTATGAACCTCCTAGCTACTTCTCAGTCCAGCTAATGGGCAATCAAATTAACCATCACCCGCATTTAGAAATCAGGCCTACTTCAAGACAGCCTAATGGAGGAGGAGAAAGAGAATATCCGTGACCTCTGGGTGAGAATGCAGACCCCAGACTGGGCTCTAGCACACACAGGGAAGTCAGGACACTGGGCAGAGCTACGCTACACTAACCAGGCAGATATTTTTTCTTCCTCCTTGTTGGGAGATGGCCGTAGAGCAAGGGCCCAAAGATATCCTATGTTCCCATACTGGTAACATGTTAGAGAAATCACATGAAGGATTCCCCAACTGGAAGAGACACACACAGTGGCAATTCCTCTCCGTGCCTCAGTTTCCCACGCAGTAGGATGGAACCTTAACAGTATGTGCTTCCCAGGGCTGTTGTGCTGATTAAATACATAAGGCAGCTTGGGATAGCACCAGGCATGCCACAGATGCTCAATAATTCCTAGGATTCTTCCTTCCTGTGCTTTTATCACTGTGATTTGGGGCTTTAGGGGAGAAGGGTGACAACTCTCGAAGCTCTCCCCATCTTTGGTGCCTCCATCTGGCATAATAGGCTCCAATCCCATTTCTGGGACCTCAAGCAAGTTGTGGTTCTTCTCTGAGCTGCTTGCCCCATCTGGAAAATGAGGGAGAGGTCAGAGTGCTGAGGGTCAGTGTAAATGCCATTGCATGAGTCCTAAACAGTCTTGCCCCCTGTCTGAAACATCTCTCTTCTCTCCCTAGTTCTTGAAAAACAACCCAGAAACAAACAAATATGAAGGATGGCCGGAGTTACTAGAGCTGGAGGGCTGTGTGCCGCGGAAGGTATTTTAGAGTGGCCATGGCCGGAAAGACACACCCAACGGACTTGAGAACAGTGCTCGGGTTTGCTGGATCTCTGCTGATGGGAGCTGACTAGGAGGAAGAAAGGGAGAAGCCATATAAGATGCGCTGACCATCCCACATACAATGTGACTCACTTCTCTGAGGAAACAACAGCTTCCCACGCCCCACAATGACCAGCCTGGGGATGGGCGGCCGCACAGGGCCTTCAGAACCAGCTGTGATGGACACAAGTGAGACCTTCCAAGGCTATCCATGGTTGTCTCCAGAAGGACTGACTGCCTACACTTGAGCAGGATTAAATTCTATTTTTGCTGATTTTGAACTTTGCAACCTCTCCAATTGCTGTGGTTCTCCCTGGGATTGTACTGGTCTAGTCTCAGTTAGCATGTGTTCTGGGTCTGGACAGGTAGGGGAAGCTCATCTGGCAGCTGGGACGAAGCCTGGTTTCCTGGGATTTCACAAAATCCCAGGTACAAAAGACTTGGTTCTCAAGATGGACAGGAGCAGGGAAGCCTAGGGGACATCATTCTTGACAAGCTCTTTTAAGGCAAGCCAGAGGTGACCCAGAGCTGGAGAAAAAGAGGAAGGGAGTGGATAAGGCAGGGAAAGTATCTACAGCCCTGAACAGGTGTCTAACATCTGCCTGGTTCTGGATTCCCCAGAGGTAGATTCAGAAACAAGCATTTGAGGGCAGGCATTGTGTCTGGGGAAGGAGACAGCCAATAATGGGTATTTTAAGGGGACCCTACACACAGTGGGGACTCCCTCCCACATCCTGGATTAGGCACAAAACACACCCAAACACCTGTTTCCACAGAGAGAGCCTTTATTAAGCGGGAAAGAAAAGTCAACGTGGCTGCTTTCTGACTCAGGCAGAAAACAGCAGCAAATGACCTTGTAGGTGTCATTTCAAGAGGAGAAAACGGGGAGATCTGTGTTAGGATGGCTAGAATGTGGTGGTAAAAGAGATAGGGGATGAGGGAAAGGTGGAAGGAACAAGGGAGAGGGGACAGAGATGTTTGTCCTGGAGAGACGAAGGACTGTCTCTGCACAGAGAGGAGACAGACATGGCATACAGGCAAATGGAGGTTTATAAAGGCAAAGGGGGAAACCCCGTGTTAGGATGAGCATGTTAATTAGATGAGCCAAAGGGGACTTTTGATTGGTGGACTTTGGTAGTCAGCCTCAGGAGGAGAAAGTAGACAAATAAGGGACTAGACCTTGGTGATTCGCTTTACGAATGTAACCTAACCATTTTCAGCAAGGCAGAGGGAATGGGGGAGAAGAGCAAGGCCTGCTGGAGCCACGGGCTCGGGTGGACTCCTGTCCCTCCAGTGTTGCCAGCCCAACTACTGGAGACTAGAGTGAGATCCCACCGGAAACGTTGGGCCTTGTAACGACTACCTAAATTGTTGCAGTTTAATAAAAACTCGAGAGTCAGAAATTGAGATAAAGACCTGATAAATCCAAGAACAGCAAACAGTTGATTTGCTGACCATGTTTTTCCCAAACGATCAGCTCCAGAAATCCCCCTTCTCTCTTCCTGTCCTCTCTAGCAGACCTCCTCAGTCTTCCAAGAACTCTATGGCTAATCCCCGGTTAGCCAATCATTGACTCCGTCCTTTGTTTCAAGGTGGCTTTATGAGCACAGTAGAATGTCTATACAAACAATTCTTCCACAACAGGGACTCTGTAGAACACACTCCTGAGGAATGGCAGTCCTTGAGCTCTGGAGAAGAAGGGTGTTTATATACCAAGAGCAGCCAACGATTTGGCAAGGCAAGGCTGTTAGTGTCATCCCCAGGGGACACTTATCCACCCATGTAGGGATGAGAGGCTATCGATGTCTTCACAGTGAGTCACTGGCCAAAAGATGCCAATGCCAGCTGCCGGTAGACCAGTAGGTACAATGAGAAGAGAAGGAATCGTAGCAGATGCCAGGGTCTCGGAAAAGGTCCACTCTCAAGCTCCAGACCAAATCCTGTAGCGGTTCATAGGAGTGTGTACTGAGGGACATTAGGCTTTATTAGGGGAAATCCCCAGTCATCTCAAGTGGCCAGTTTCTAAGCAGCAAGCACAGGGAGGGCTTCAGGTATGTCAAGGGCCTGGTGGCAAGAAGATAGAGTTTGGGGACCCTGGACTAGAGGCTTTTTTTTTTTGGTATGAGACACAGGCTTTGAACAAGCTGAGCTGAGAAAACTAGAAGATGCCCACTCCGCCAGTCCATTAAGCCCCTCCGATCCAGACTCACCTAGAATGTCTTCAGGAATAAAGAGGGCCTCGTAGAAACACCAGTGTCCACATGGGCACAATGCTTCAGAAGCCCGCCGTGGGAATTCACATTGGCAGACAGTTCTCACAGATACCTTTGGATTCCTGAAAATGTTTATTTCCAATGAGCTAAGATACCTTATAGGATTTAAAAGGAGCCAATAAAGACTTCCAAAGTGAGTTCCCGGCCAGAGACAGGAGGACTAGGCAGACAGCTCTTGGTGGTGGTCGCTATTTTAAGAGGACCTAGGGGGCCACCTGGGTGTGCTAGACAAGGCCGAGAGCATGTGACCAGCTCAGAACTGAGGAAAGAGGCTCCCACAGATGAAGGGGCTTGGAGACGCAGCAGAGGAGGGGAACCGCAATACCGCACCCAGGTTCCTGCCCCTATGATGGCTTCTTATGGTACGCTATTTTTCTCATCGCTGTGACAAAGTATATTCCAGAAACAGCGGGAAATTGATACTCACAGTCTGGGCATGGTCACAGTGGCAGGAGTCTGAAGCAGCTGGTCACATGACATCAGCAGTCTGGAAGCAGAGACCAATGAATGCTTGTACTCAGCTTACTTGCTCAGTTTTATTTAGTCTGGGACCCCCGTCTCAAGGAATAGTGCTGTCCATTTTGAGGGTGGGTCTCCCGATTTCAATTAGCTCAGGATGTCCCTCACAGACATTCCAGAGGGCTGTCTCCTAGATGAGTCTAGACCCTGCCAAATTGACAAGAAGCACCATCACAAAAGGTCAGCTTGACCTGTTCTTTAGAGAAATGCCATCCCAGAGGCCTGGGTTTCCCTCGTGCCCCAAGGGCCATCAGCTGGTCACTGAGAGTGGAGACAGAAAGCCAGCTCATTGTCTTGACCTGAGCCCATGAGCTCCATCAGAAACTGGCGCTTAGCCTGAAGTATCCTGAAGTATCCTGTCCCTCCTCTCCCTTAGCAGGGTTCCCTAGATGCCAGGCCCTAATAATAAATCATCTACAGGAGACTTTGACAGAAGTGCCCGAGGTCCCTGGGTATGCTAGCTAGATGATACTCTGTCTGCAGCTGGGCTAAGAGATGAGAGCACCTTTCTGTGAACAGCTGTAGTGTCCAGGTCCGTTTTCTAAGAGGGAGGAGCTGTAGGCCAGGAGCCTCACCCGATGCTGCCACATGTCTTCTGCTGTGGAAAAGGTCCCATGCTGTCCCATGCTGGAAGGACCAGGCAGATGACACACTCAAGGCCCACTAATCTCCCCCTCCTTGTCAAAGTACAATGCCCCACTCTCATATCCTCAGATGCAGTGTGGAAAATGAACTCACGTGTCCATCACCTGACTCTCTGAAGCCCCCAAGGAGATTGACACTGGAGACAGCCACAAGGCCTGGCAGGGGTGAGTGTCACAAGTATGACCAACAGGGTGTGGCAGCCATGACAAGGATACCCGGTTCCGCTCAGGATGGAGTCGAAGAATGTGACTGTTGAGTATTGGGTCCACATCCCCCTGACTCAGCTTCCTCACTCCTCAGTCGTTAACCATCTGCTGGGCTTCTGGAAGCAGGACCCATGGAGCAGGACGATACACATCAGAAGGCAATGCGAGTGCTCCAGGGATATGAGTGAGAAGGACCCGCGACACCCGTCCCAGTCTTGGGGCAGGGAAAGCATCGAAAGACGGTAGCTTCCTTGGGAGCCTCTCCATAGAGTGCCAGTCAGACCGCAGATGGGACAGAGGTGTGTGACTAGGTGGGCAGACCTGTAAACAAGGCTGGAGGGCTGGGAGCGGGGAAAAGGCTGAATGGGTGGGCTGAGCACCAGTTTTCTGTGTCAGGCAAAGAGCTTGGATCTGGGACATCAGTGACGTGTATGTTTAAACTAGACAAGGAATGGCCACTGTTTTATCTTTTAATTCCTCGGTGTTATGTAGAGATAAAGAGGCCAAGAGTAGGTTTCGGTGTCATCAAGGAATGGAAGATGTCAGGCCAATCTGGGATAGGGCCTTGCAGATGGTTATTCAGAAGATAAAATGGATGAGACTTGAGGCTGACTTGCTCATTGCTGTAGACAAGCATCAAGTATCTCTTCACGCTAATGGTGGCCTCCGGATTTGAGATTTGCACCTGCTTCCTGGCTCCGTGCCAAGGCTTGCCACACACCCCAAGAGTGAAGCTCGGGCCCTGTGCATCACCGTGTTCTCTTCAGGGGCTGAAATTCTGATTCTCACCAGCAGATGGCAGCATAGGAATGAAAGGAAGGGCAAGGTGCGCTTGGGAAAGAGGTTGAATTGGCTGTCTGGGTCTCGCTAACAGACAGAGGAGTTACTGGCCACCCTTACTGATAACATGATAACAGCAACACCTCACCACTGGAGAGGATCGAGCCTCACATCATCACCCACCTCACTTCATCCTCAGGACGACCTCATCGAATAGAAACCACAGTACTCCTGGGCACACAGGATAAGAAGGGTCAGAAAGGTCAAGTGACCTGCCCAGACCCACACAGGTGAAGTGCCTGAGAATAAGAACTAGAATCTCAGCCGGCCTCTGTTGTCATTGGAAACTCACCTTTCGGATACCAATACCCCAAAGTCACTCTGAGGTAACTGGTTCTCTCTTCCCTCCCTCTGGCCTCCCCATTGTGCACCTCCTGAATGCCCCTGATGACATTTGAAATTGAACAGAACCTCAGAGTCAGCATCCCAGGTCTCTGCTATCGTGGCTTTGGGAAGAATGGAGACCAGGTGGTTACAGGGTTTGGAGTATCTTCTTCCAAAGCTCTCCCTCTCTGGGATCCTGGCTTCCTCCCACTCACTATTGGAAAAGAGAAGATGTTTATCCCCATTTTGTGGATGAAGAGCAAGAGCTAGGGAGCACGGAGCCACCCAGTGAAAAAGTACAAAGAAGGACCAGAAACGCCTGACCCTTGGCCCTCAGCTTCCCTGGGACCACTCCCTTACCTCCTGCTCGTGTGCAGTTGTATGGACACTGCACTGGGTCCACCAGAGCTGGGCTTCAGAGCCCAAGAGAAAGCTCAATCCCTAGGCTCCTGGTCAGCTTACAAGACCTATCAGCAGGAGTCCAGGCAGATGAGGGGAAATGGAGTGAGCATGTAAAACTCTCTCCCTCCACCCCACCAGGGAGTTTGACTTCAGGTTGACTGATCCAGCTGACAGACATTTAGGCCTTTGCAACCTGCAGCTCTCTCCCAGCAGAAAGGGAGCTGAGCCCAAGCCAGACTATACTAGAAAGAAAGGGAGCGAGCGGGAGACAAATGCCTGTCTTCTTGGACAGATGTGGGTTAGAGAGGATACATTACAAGAACAGTGGAATTCAAAATTGCCATGAAAATGACACGTGGGTGAAAGGGAGTGAGTGTGTGATGGTGCGTGTGTGTGTGTGTCTGTGTGTGTCTGTGTGTGTCTGTGGGGGGGGATGGATGCTTTGGGGGTGATTGTGGTGTGTGTGGTGTGTGGTGGTGTGGGTTCTTTGGGAGTAAGTGTGGAGTGTGTGTGGTTGTATGTGTGTGTGGTGGTATGTGTGCTTTGGGGAGTGAGTGTGATGTGTGTGGTGTGTATGATATGGGTGCTTTGTGTGTATGGGCATGTGAGTGTGTGACTGTGAGTGTGTGTGAGAATGTGAGTGCTATGTGAGAGTATATGTGAGTGGAAGTGTGTGTGTGTTGTGTGTGTAAGAAAGTGTGTGAGAGAGTGTGTGTCTGTGAGTATGTGTGAGTGTGAGAGCATGTGTGTGTGAGTGTGCATGTGTGTGTGCATGAGTGTGACTGTGTGTGTGTGTGTGTGTGCTTGCCCAGATGTGTGCGTATGGAGACCAGAGGTTGACAACGGGATGACTTCCGGTGTTACCATCTACTTTGTTTTTTGAGACTGGGTCTCTCACTGTATTAGTTAGAGGAACAGAAGTGATGAAAGGAAGTGTGTGTGTGTGTGTGTGTGTGTGTGTGTACCAAAGGGAAATTTATTATAGAGGCTTAAAGGCTGTTGTGGTGGCTATTTTTGGTTGTTAACTTGACATCTGGAACTATCCAAAACCCAGAAGTGAAGGGGCACACCTGTGAGGGATTTCTGCTTACTTTGAAGTGGAAAGATCCAAGTCTAATCCAGACGTATGAAGACATGCCTTTAATCCAGATGTTTTGAATGAGGAATCCCCAGCTCTAATCTGGGTCATGCCTCCTGCTGAAAGCCTATATAGGGATGTGGAAGAAGGAGGCTTTTGCTCTTTGCCTCCTTGCTCTTGCCCTCACTAGTAAGCCCATTCCTCCAATAGCATTAGAGCATACTTTTTAGGGACTCCAATGTGTCCTGAAGACCAACTGAGACATCCAGCCTCATGAACTGAACGACTATTAAATTCTTGAGCCTTTGGTTCATAGGCAACCACTGTTGGACAGCCTGCTTATCATTCTAATAAATCTCCTGTCTATATAGAGAGATTCTTTCTCTAAGTTGTGTTGCTCTAGAGAATCCTGACTAACACAGCTGTGTTCTGGTCCACCCAACAATCACTGTCTCCCAGTGGAAAGGTCAGGAATCTAGTAGCTGTTCAGTCCATGATGCTGGATATTTCGGGTGGTCTTCAGTATATGGAGAAGTAGGTCCTAACACCAGAGAAGCAATGCTCAGCAGCAGGGTAGATGACCTTGCCAGCGAGAGTGAGGGCAAATAGGCAAAAGGCTTCTTTCTCCCATGTCTTTTTTTTTTAAGCAGCCGTCTAAATGGGGGGTGGGGTGCGCATTTAGGGTGGGCCTTCTGGCCTCAGATGACCCAATCAAGTCCCTCAGAGTTGTACCCAGTTGTTTGAGTTTTAGTCGATTCCAGATGTAGTCAAGTTGACTAGCAAGATTGGCCATCACACTCACTGAACCAGTAACTTGCTATTTCAGCCCCCAGTATCATAGGCAAAGGTCATGTTCCCACATGGAAGTGGTCTTCATACGTGTACAGCATGCACTTTACTCACTGAGCTGCTCCCTAGCGCCTGTTGTGACCTCTTTCAGTGAGTGAGGCTGTGTGGAGTCCACTTCATACTTAGACTGTCTCAGTAACTCACCCATCATTGAGTGACACTTGAACTACCACGAGGGGACTAACGCTGTCCTAGACCCAGGAAGAAACCGATAAACAAGACAGGACAGATCCGTTCCAGACAAGAGAGGTGAGCAAAAAGAACACAGAAATAATATTTCAGTTGCTAAGCGCTAAAGCCCTGTAAGCCTGGGAGTGGGGGGATTTTAACCTGCTCATCCTCCACCACCAGATGCTACTGTAAAATCCCCTGCATGTATCCCATTAAACCTACTCCATGGCAGACTCTGTGCTCCAGGAAAGGGGAGGCGGCAGGATGTTCTCTGTCCCTCATCCCGGGAGAGCCGCTGCACTTAGGTGCTGGGTACCTGGGACTTACCAACAAGCACAGAACTCAGCACCGTTAGTCTCATCAGCGCAGAGACATTGGTGACTCGATGCTCTGCAGAAACCTTCTCCAGAGGCTTTCTCCAGGCCTCCACTTCCGTTAATCTTCAATACCACATGGAGCCCCTCTGGTCCAGCATAAACTTTTATTATTTTATTTTTGTTTGATTTAGAGAAAGAGCCTCATGTAGCCCAGGATGGCCTTGAATTTGCTATGCCGCTCAGCAGGAACTGATTTCCCCATCTCTACCTCCTGAGTGCTGGGGACCGAACCAAGGACTCTGTGCACTCCAACTACAACCCCCACCCAAAGAAGGAGTGTGTCAACCAAAGAAGGGGCGTGGCCCAACCAATGCGCTACTAAAATAGGGGCTTCAACTTATGTGAAGTCACCCGCTCATGTCCCTGTGGGTGGATGAATGGGGAGGAGAGTCGAATTTCAGAAAAGTTAAATCTTGTCCGCAAGACTACACAGCTATGAGGGGCAGAGCCGCATTTAATTCCAAGGTGACTCCTGCCTTAATCTCTGCTGGTGTCGGAGAGGGACCTGGAGGTAACAAAAGGAGAGCGACTGCTAGGGGCACTTTGAGAACTTGGCCTCTGGCCTGGAATCCGGCCTCCAGACATTTTCCTGGCCTGAGCCCAGCCGGCTGCCCTCCGGCCCTCTCATAGCCCTGCCCTAGTGAATGGCACAGCCTGCTCTCTAAGTTTCCGCTCCAGAAGAGCCCCTTTCCATTGTCCTCAGAGATGTCCTAATAATAAGGCTGCCCAGCCTGAGACTGATGTCCCCACACAGGACCACGGGGCACCCGAGCTGTCCAGGAAAGCTCAACGATGGCCTTCTGTTAAGCAATGCCTGGCCAGAAAGGGAGGCCAAACTCTGTGCCCTAGTCAGCCTGAGGTCACCCGCCACACCCAAACTGTGTGACCACTCTGTAACCCCTGCTTCTCCACCTTCC